CCCAGCATGTGTCCCGGCCCCGTCCCGACAGGGCCTTCTTCGGCTTCCCTAATGCCAGTGCAGGAGCCCAAAGTTGAATTCGTTTGAGATCGGTCGAACGAGGTCGAGAAGCAGCCGTGGGTCCCGCAGTCCATCCATGCAGTCATTCACGAGTCGTACGTCAATCATTGTAAACTGCTGGGCAGTGGAACCCAAGTGCCTTCCAATGGTTCAATGGCAGAGAACCGTCGTCCAGGCAAGGCTGGAAAGCCAAACAGATTTGGCCGTCGTCCAGTGTGCAGTGGTTGTTCGAGGACCTGCCCTCATTGTGGTGTGAATTGGCTCTGTCCAGACAGTATCGATATGAGGGGGCAGAGTGGTCACTGTTTGTAAATCTTAGCCTGGCTTGTAAAGAACGAGAACAGGTCGCTGCAAGGGAGAGAATCCTTAGTCACCGAATTTCAGATGAAAGCTCATTTGCTAGAGATAGAGCGCCCAAAAAACAGTTGCGACAGGTACAGCAGGACAGCGAGCACCTGCGATTGATTTCGTAGCAGGCTCACAAGATGTCTCAGAGGCTGCTGAACAGTCTCTGGAGGACGTGGGACGCGAGCGGAATAAGGGTGAGAAGGCGGCGATGGAAGATGGGGAGGAGAGAACGGCGGCAAAAGTGGCTGAATAAAAAAACACCACATGCAACAACAGTTGCGACCTGCCCGTGAAGCAGCAACATTGGCAGCATCAGAAACGGCAGCAGTCCGTCAAGAAAATAGCCGTTGTGTCTTGGACCGACGGCGAGGCGTAGGCGCCTGGTCCACCTGGTGGTGTTCCCGCCGTGGGCCCTTCCGAAGCGATGGTTTCTTGTGAGACGGTCGCATCAAGTGGCCCTTGCTGGAGGGTGCAAGGAGCGACCTTGACGATGGTTCATGGGATCGTGATTGCTTTGGCGTGTGCAGATGGTGTTTGTGCCTGTGCCTCCTGGTATGAGGGTGCCGTTGGTGGGGGCGGCGCCTGGGGTGCCTGGCGGTGGAGGTGTCCTCCAGCGCTGGCGTGGCCGCGATGGCGTCGGCTTTGCCTGTGGCGCCGCTGGTCCAAGTATCGGCGTCGTTGGGTCGAGGGCGTCCTTTGCGAAGTTTTCGCGGCAGTTAACCTCGGTGCAGCCCACATGGTAGTTTGTACGTCCCCGCGTAGGTTTGGTAGCGTTTGCCGTCCGTCGGGGGGCAGGATAAAGGGGCTTCTTGCCCTGGGTAGTCAGAGTTGGTCGGTCCCTGGGCGGGTAGTGCGAGGGGTCTGTCCTGTCGGCGGATCTGTTGCAGGAGGCGGCTACCGTCTTCCAGCGAGAATGGTAACATGCTGCTGGTGTATGATGTCCCGTCCTCCGCCCTCGTGTGGGCAAAGGCGACAAGGACATTCCAGTTTTGCGCATCCAGGCTGTTGTGTGGGGCGGTGCAGTTGCCCTGGAGGGCGTCGGCGGAAACCGTGGACCCTGGTGAGCCGCGGCTGGATACCGTCTTTTGCGCGATGGGGTCGCACAGTATGGTGTAGCTGATTTTGTGTCCCCGCACAAACTCATCAGTTCTGTGAGCGAGTTCGTTGTACGCAACGACAGTCCGATCGACGCCACCACTGCTCTGGAATGCGTTGTCGCAGGCCTCCTTTCGACTGGGGTCGGTGTCCCATCGATCCGTTATGGTAGCCTTTGGGCGGCCCTTACCTGGTGGTTTGGGCTGCGGTGGTGCAGGAGGATCACGGCGTGGGCCTTTCGCAGCCATGGCGCGCGCACGTGGAAAAACGGAAAGGCGATTCGCATCAGGCACGCGCTGGAATGGCGTGTGTTCCCCTTCGTGGTGCGTTCATCGGAACTGCTTGGCAATTCGAGTCTCTGGCTGCACCTGTACCTGAAGATGCTCGAGCCGAGATTAGGGAGGGAAGGAGAGTTGGGCTTAAGATCATGAAGAGGAAGAGGAAGGTGTGGAGGAGGAAGGGGAGGGAGAGAGGGAGGAAGAGCAGGGTAAGCAGGAGGAGGTGGAGAAGGAGGAGGAGGAGGAGGAAGTATGATGGCGATGCTGATGCGGATGCTGATGCTGATGCTGATGGTGATGAGGGGGAAAGGGGGGGGGGGCGGCGGAGGAGGAGGAGGATGCTGATGATGATGATGATGCTGATGATGATGATGATGATGATGATGATTATGATGATGATGATGCTGCTGATGATGATGATGATGATGATGATGATGATGGGGAAGAGGAGGAGGAGGAGGGGGAGCATCGAGGCTCGTATGTTGGGCTCATGGTGGTTATCATGGTGATGAGGAGAAGGCGAGGTGGTGGTGGTGGTGTGATTATGATGGTAACTCGTGGTGGCGGTGTTGATGATTCTATAGGCTTACGCCACATCCGCCGACCCCTATATAAACCCATATGCCTCAAGGACTGCATTTCACGAGGCTTGTCCGAATCATGACGCTGCGCTCGACATCGTTCCTGCTGCTTCGTTGCTGTTATCGTACCTCTTGGTGCTCTTTTGTGGCCTTTTGGTGGCATCTTGGCCTGTCAGCAGGCCATGTCCGGCCGCCTCGAGGCATTTAGGGCCAAGTTTTGGGGCCTCTTGGGGGCTTCCTGGGGGCTTCTTGGCGGCCTTTGAGGTTCTCTTGGGGGTCCCTCAGGGCCTCTTGGGGTGTTCTTGGGGCCGGCTGGGGGCGTCTTGGGGCCGAAGGCTCGAAAAGGTGCCCTCTGGACTCCGTCTTGGAGCCGTCTGGGGGCCCTCTTGGGCTGTCTTGGGGGCTTCGTGGGCTGTTGTTGGACCCTGTTCGACCCTTCTTGGGGGCCCCTTTGGCCGTCTGGGGGCGATATTGAAGATTTCTTTGCTCGTCTGGGACGTTGTGAAAACCGACGATTTTTTTCTGATGGAATGGGGCGATTTTTGTTTCTTGGGGCCCTCTAGGGGCGCATCTTGGGGGCATCTTGGGGCGTCTTGGCGGCTCGTGGGCGTCTAGGGGCGATATTTCGGCGAATCGTGGCCCCCTGGGACCGTCTGGGGAGCGCTTTGGTGCCTTCTTGGCCAGTTTTGGAGCCCTCCGCTCCCCCGTGACGCGTTCGGTCCAGGGTCGCGCTGGGCCAAGGGGGGGGGGGTTAAATTGCCGGTTTGGGGTCCCTGGGGGGGGGGGGATTATGGAGGGGGATCGTTTCACATGCCCAGAGACTCATAAGGGGTCGGCGGATACTGCTGCTGTTGATGATGACGATGGTGCTGTTGTTGATGATGGTGCTGATGATACGATGGAGATGGCGCTCGTGTTGCTGATGCTGATGCTGACGATGCTGCTACTGCTGATGCTGATGATACTGGTGATGCTGATGCAGATGCTGCTCCTGATGATGATGAGGATGCTGATGCTGCTGCTGATGATCATGATGCTGATGATGATGACGATGGTGATGATGATGATGCAGATGATGATGATGATGCTGATGATGATGATGATGCTGCTGTTGATGAGGATGAGGATGATGATGATGATGATGCTGATGATGATGAGGATGAGGATGAGGATGAGGATGAGGATGATGGTGATGATGATGATGATGATGATGATGATGATGATGATTATGCTGATGCTGATGATGATTCTGATGATGATGATGCTGCTGCTGATGATGATGTGGATGATGATGATGCTGATGATGATGATGATGCTGATGATGATGATGCTGATGATGATGATGATGATGATGATGATGCTGCTGGGGAGGAGGATGAGGAGGTGGATGAGGAGGTGGATGAGGAAGTGGAGGAGGAGGAGGAGGATGATGATGATGATGATGATGATGAGGAGGAGGAGGAGGAGGAGGAGGAGGAGGAGGAGGGGGACCGTGATGCTGAAGCAGATGATGCGGCTGCTGACGATTCTGCTGCTGCTGATGATGATGATGATGATGATGATGGTGGTGGTGGTGATGATGATGAGGAGGAGGAAGATGAGGAGGAGAAGGGGGAAAATGATAATGAGGAGGAGGAGGAGGAGGAGGAGGAGGAGGAGGAGGAGGAGGAGGAAGAAGAGGCTGATGAGGAGCAGGTTGAGGATGAGGAGGTCGAGGAGGAGACGGAGGGGAGGGAGAGGAGGAAGAGGGGTAGGAGGGACTCCTTCCCTCTCTCCTTGAGGCGTGGTGTCCTCTCCGTGGGTGCACGGTCTGACTGGCGCGCCCTTGCTTTCTCTTTGGGTGCCTCTCCTTTGCAGTTTCGGTTTGCCTCTGGGATAGGGCGTAGAACCAGGGTGACAACGATGTAAGGAAGAAGTTCAGGAGGGTGCTCCGCGGCCTCCGAAGCGCTCGCAGAGCCCTCCTGCGGCGGCGACGACGACGACGACGACGGCTTCCACAACGACGATGACGCCTTCGGCCTCGACGCTGACGACGACGCCGCCGACCTCGGCGCCAACGAAGCCGACGACGGCGACGCCACCGACGACGGCGACGACGCCGGGTCTGACGACGACGACGACGACGCCGACGCTGGCGACGACTGCGGCGCAGGCGTCGGCGGCGACGGTGGGTGCTCCATTCGGCCACAAGTGCGAGGGAATCTCCGTCAGAGGCACCGTTGGTGCCCAGCTCTCAGGGGGCGCGGGGGGGGCCACACCCAAGCACGCAGGCCGCTGCTGTCGCCCCGCATGCAGCGGTCGGCAAGCCGTGCACCCTCCTCCTCCTCCTCTCCTCCTCCTCCTCCTCAGGCCCGGGGTCAAATTTTGCGTGTAGCCGCGCCCCAGAGCCTGAGCGCATGCTGACCAGGATTCCGAGGCGGATTCGGCCGCGGCAGGGAGAAAGCCCGTGGAGGCCCCAGCAATAAGAAAGCCCCCCCTCCCCCCCCCCTCCCGAAGACCCCGATGACGACGGCGGTGGCGACGACGACGTCGACTGCGACGTCGACAGCGGCGACGCAAAGGACGTCATCGGCGTCCTCGTTGTCTTCGTCGTCGCCCTCGTCGTTGTCCTCGTCGCCAGTCTTGCCGTCGTCGCCAGGCGCCCACCGCGCCGCCCGCAGCGGCGTCGTGTGTCGCGCCGGCGGCGCCGTTGCGCGGCGGCCACCCCGCCTCGCAGCTGTCCGGGCCCTATCGCCGACCGCTGGCAGAGCGGACCTCGACGCCGCGTGGGGCTGCGGGCGTGGCCGCGGCTGTTCGCTGTGACCACTTGCGAACCACTTTCCTAGGAGTGCAACCTCGACGCTGGAGTGTTAGACAACCCCGCTGGGGTTTACCTTGACTGCAGGCATCCTTCAAAGTTCTGACCCTCAGCTGGTTCTTCTTCATAAGTCTGACAGGCTTAGTTCGGGTGCAGATGGGCGCTCCTCAAATCCTAAACACAAAATCATGTGGGCATCTCTTGGAGGGCCGGTTTTTGGTTATGCCGGCGGACACTGGCTTCCGCCGGCGGAGGCGGCCTCGTTCTGCTTCTGCTTCTGCCGCCAGGCTTTCGCCAGCCATCCGCCAGCTCCCGCCGGGGAAGATATGCCAACTGTTTCGATCCTCGAAGCGATGCCCTTTCTGGAGCGCACCATGTAGTCGCCAAGCGTAAGACTCTTTGCCAGAACTCGGGTCTGCCGATGCTTTGTGACGGGCCCATCCTGAGTCTTGGCGGACCAGTTTTGGTGGAATGCTTGCAGCGGGAGCTAGCGTCAAATTTCAGATTGGGCCTCGTCATCTACCTGACGGCCCTGTCAGGCCAACCCCCGAACCCGAGCCTTATGTCTCCCCGTATCTCGTGCCGAGGGGCCACCTGAGGCTGGAGACGTCTTGCGCTGGCCTGGTGGACCGCTGCGGCCTCACCGTAGTGGAGCTTCTCGGGCTCCATGCTGCAGCCCTCAGCGTTGATGGCCTTGAGTCGCTCCGTGTCTCGGAGTCGCCACACGTCGGGCTCGATCTCCTTGGCCGTCTGGAGAACAGCAGGGAAGAGAAGCGCTGTGGTATAATAAGGGAAACGATAAGAGAAACGAATGACGGGGCACGGTTTCCCCCACGGCTGTAGGCGACCCGAGGAGGAGGAGGAGGAGGAGGAGGAGGAGGAGGAGGAGGAGGAGGAGAGGAGGAGGAGAGGGAGGAGAGGAGGAGAGGGAGGAGGAGAGAGGAGGGAGGAGGAGGAGGAGGAGGAGAGGAGGAGGAGGAGAGAGGAGGAGGAGGAGGAGGAGAGGGAGGAGGAGGGAGGGAGGAGTGAGGAGGAGAGGAGGAGGAGGAGGAGGAGGGAGGAGGGAGGAGGAGGAGGAGGAGAGGAGGAGGAGGAGGAGGGAGAGAGGAGGAGGAGGAGGGAGATCAGAGGGAGGAGGAGGAGGAGGAGGAGGAGGAAGGAGGAGAGGAGGAGGAGGAGGAGAGGAGTGAGCTGCCTGCCAGTGCCAGTCGTGGGCTGGCCCCCCCCCCCGCCGCCGTCGTCGGGGCGGCGGGCCGTCGCCACGGCCGCGGGCCCGCCGAGGTCCGCCGCGAGCTCGCTGCCGGCGCTGCGCGAGGGCGGCGACGCGCGGGCGCTGCTGCAGCGCAGGGAGGCCGCTTGTCGTCGTCGTCGTCGTCGTCTTCGTCGTCTTCGTCGTCGTCGTCTTGGCCACCTTCGTCGTCGTCGATGTCATTGTCGTCGTCGTCGTCGTCATCGTCGTCGTCGTCGTCGTTGTCGTCGTCGTCGTCGTCTTCTTGGTCGTTGTCGTCGGTGTCGTCGTCTTGGCCGTCGTTGTTGTCGTCATCGTTGTTGTCGTCGTCGTTGTCGCCGTCGTCGTCGGCGTCGTCGTCTTCATCATCGTCATCGTCCTTGGCCGTCGTCGTCGTTTTCTCCGTCGTCGTCGCCGTCGTCGTCGTCGTCGTCGTTGTCGTCGTCGTGGTCGTCTTGGCCGTCTTCGTCGTCGTCTTCGTCGTCGTCTTCGTCGTTGTCTTGTCGTCGTCTTGTCGTCTTCGTCGCGGCCGTCGTCGTCGCCATCGTCGTCGTCGTCGTCGTCTTGGCCGTCGGTGCCGTCGCCGTGTTGGCCGTCGCCGTCGTCGTCGTCGTCGTCGACGTCGTCGTCGTCGTCGGTGTCGTCGTCGTTGTCGTCGTCGTCGTCGTCGTCGTCGTTGCCGTCGTCGTCGTCGTCGTTGTCTTCGTTGTCGTCTGGGCCGTTGCCGTCGTCCTCTTGGGCGTTTTTGTTGTTGTTGTCGTCGTCTTCGTCGTCGTCTTCGTCGTCGACGTCGTCTCCGTCGTCGTCGTCGTCGTCCTCGCCGTCGTCGTCGTCGTCGTCGTCGTCGTTGGGTTCCCCGTCGTCGTCATCGGCGTCGTCGTCTTCGTCGTCGTTGTCGTCGACTTCTGGTCCGTCATCGTCGTCGTCGTCGTCTTCGTAGTCGTCGTTGTCGTCTTCCTCGTCTTCGTCGTCCTCGTCGCTTTCGCCGCCGTTGGCGTCGTCGTCGTCGTCTTGGCCGTCGTCGTCATCGTCGTCGTCACCGTCATCGTCTTCTTGGCCGTCATCGCAATCGTCGTTGTCGTCGTCGTCATCGTCTTCGTCGCCGTCGTCGTCGTGGTCTTCCTGGGCTTCGTCGTCGGTGTCGTCGTCTTGGCCGTCGTCGTCGTCGTCGTCGTCGCTGTCGTTGTCGTTGTCGCCGTCGTCATCGTCGTCTTCGTCGTCGTCGTGGTTGTGGCCGTCGTCGTCGGCGTCGTCGTCGTCAGCTTCATCGTCGTCGCCGCTGTCGTCGTCGTCTTCGTCGTCGTCTTCGTCGTTGTCTTGTCGTCGTCGTCGTCGTCGTTGTCGTCGTCGTCGTCGTCGTTATCTTCGTTGTCGTCGTCGTCGACGTCGCCGTCGTTGTCTTGGCCGTCGTCGTCGTCGTCGTCGTTGTCGTCATCGTTCTTTTGGCCGTCGTCGTCGCCGTCTTGGCCGTCTTCGCCGCTGCCGCGGTGGTTGTCGTCGTCGTCGTCGTGGCCGTCGTCGTCGTCGTCGTCGTCTTGGCCGTTGTCGTCGTCACTGTCCCCGTCGTCGTCGTCGTCGTTGTCGTCATCGTTCTTTTGGCCGTCGTCGTCGCCGTCTTGGCCGTCTTCGCCGCTGCCGCGGTGGTTGTCGTCGTCGTCGTCGTGGCCGTCGTCGTCGTCGTCGTCGTCTTGGCCGTTGTCGTCGTCACTGTCCCCGTCGTCGTCGTCGTTGTCGTCGTCGTTGTCGTCGTGGTCGTCTTCTTGGGCGTCGTCGTCTTTGTCTTCGTTGTCGTCGTCGTTGTCGTCGTGGTCGTCGTCGTTGTCGTCGTTGTCGTCTGCTTGGGCGTCGTCGTCTTTGTCTTCGGTGTCGTCGTCTTCGTCGTTCTCCGTCGTTGCCTTCGTCTTCGTCGTCGTATTCGCCGTCGTCGTCGTCGTCGTCGTCGTCGTTTTCGTCGCCGTCGTCGTCGACGTCGTCGTCGTCTTCGTCGTCGTCGTCATTGTCTTTTTTTGGGCGTCGTTGTCGTCGTCGTCTTTGCCGTCGTCTGGGCCATCGTCGTCTTCTTGGGCGTCGCCGTCGTCGTCGTTTTCTCCGTCGTCGTTCTCGTCGTCTTGGTCGTCGTCGTTGTCATCGTTGTCATCGTCGTGGTCATCGTCTTCTTGGCCGTCGTCGTTATCGTCGTTGTCGTCGTCCTCGTCGTCTTCGTCGTCGTCCTCGTTATTGTTGGCGTCGTCGTCGTCGTCGGCGTCGTCGGCGTCGTCGGCGTCGTCGGCGTCTTCGTCGTCGTCTTCGCCGCCGTTGTCGTCGTTATAGTCGCCGTCTTGGCCGTCGTCGTCCTCATCGTCGTCGTCGTCTGGGCAGTCGCCGTTTTTTTTTGGCGTCGTCGTCGTCTTCGTCGTCGTCGTTGTTTTTGTCGTTGTCGTCGTGGTCGTCGTCGTCGTCGTTGTCGTCGTCGTTACCGTCGTCGTATTCGTCGTCGTCGTCGTTGTTGTTTTCGTGGCCGTCCTCGCCGTTGTGGACGTCGTCGTTGTCATCGTCGTCGTCGTCGAGGTCGTCGTCTTTGTCGTCGGTGTCGCCGTCGTCGTTGTCATCCTCGTGGCCGTCGTCGCCATTGTCGTCGTCATCGTCGTTGTCGTCGTTGTCGTCGTAGTCGTTCTCGTCTTAGCCGTCGTCATCGTCGTCGTAGTCGTCGTCATCGTCCCCCTGGCCGTCGTTTTCGTCGTCGTCTTCTTCGTCGCCGTTGTCGTCCTCGTCGTCGTCGGCATCATCGTCGCCGTCGTCGTTGTCGTCGTCGTCGTCGTCTTCTTGGCCGTTGTCGTCGTCTTCGTCGTCGTCTTCGTCGTCGTCGTCTTCGTCGTCGTCTTCGTCGTCTTCGTCGTCTTTGTCGTCTTCGTCGTCTTCGTCGTCGTTGTCGTCTTTGCCGTCATCGTCTTGGTCATCGTCCTCATGGTCCGCCTGGCAGTCGCCGTCGTCGTTGTCGTCGTTTTCGTCGTCGGCGTCGTCATTGTCGTCGTCTTGCCCGTCGTCGTCGTCATCGTCGTCGTCTTGGCCGTCGTCGTCGTTGCCTTCGTCGTATTTGTCGTCGTCGTCATCCTTGCCGTCGTCGCCGCCGATGTCGTCGTCGTCGTCGTTATCCTCGTCTTCCCCTTCGTCGTCGTCGTCGGCGTCGTCGTCTCCTTCGTCGTCGTCGTCGTCGTCGTCGCCGTCGTCGTCGTCGTCGTCGTCGTCGTTGTCGCCGTCTTGACCGTCCTAGTCGTCGTCGTCGTTTCGTCGTCTTTGTCGTCAACGTCTTCTTGGCGGTCGTCGTCGTCGTTATCTTCGTTGCCGTCGTCTTGGATGTGTTGTCGTCGTCGTCCTCGTCGGCGGCGTTGTCGTCGTCAACGTCGTCGTCTTCGTTGTCGTCGCCGTCATCGTCGTCGTCGTCGCCGTCGTCGTCGTCATCGTCTTGGTTGTCGTCGTCGTCGTCGGCATCGTCGTTGTCGTCTTCGTTGTCGTCGTCGTCTTCGTGGTCGTTGTCCTTGGCGTCGTCGTCGTCGTCGCGGTCATTGCCGACGTCGTCGTCGTTGTCGTCGTTGTCGTCGTCGTCTTGGCATTTGTCTTCGCCGTCGTTGTCATT